CTTGTCTGGCCTTCGGGTGCTTTGGAAAATACCCCCCCCCCTTCTCTGTGGCAGCCCCTCAGATATTGGAAGACTGCTGTCATGTCTCCCCTGGTCCTTCTCTTCTCTTCCCTAGACTAGCCATGCCCGGTTCCTGCAATCGTTCATCGTATGTTTTTAGCCTCCAGTCCCCTAATCATCAAACTTGGTAACTCGAAGACTTGTGGACTTCAACTCCCAGGATTCTACAGCCAGCATGGGGGAATTCTGGGAGCTGAAGTCCACAAAGCTTTAATACGGCCATGTTTGGAGACCTCTGTTCTCAACTGACTTACCCAATGCGGTTTCATGCAGCAGGGCTGAAATGCTGAAAATTATGTTCCTGCAAACATCAGTCATGGGGGTTTTGACCACACTTCGGCTGTTCTCCAGGCAGCGATATCTCTGGAAGGTTTCCCAGGCGCTGTTCGTTGTCACATCATCACCTCTGCCTCCAACTGTGAAGAGGTCCAGGGACTTGCAATATGGCATGAGAACCAGCTGCGAAATGACGTTAAACCAAGCCGTGTTATTATATTTTAAGACGGACAATCCAAAAGTTGTTATCTACCAAAGATACAATCCAGAGAGGTCACAAGAAACTATTGTGGACCGCCAGCGGAGCCGGTGGCAGACTCCGACAGTGAGGAGGTTGGGGGAGGAACATGGGCCCTTCCTGGAGTCTGGGGAGGGCTCTGAGGAGGGCTCTGTGTCGGAGCCAGAGATGGGGCCAGGGCCGTCCGACAGTTACCAGCTGCCTTCGGAATCGGAGATCAGTGGGGCAGAAGAACATCTGGAGCCTGTTCCCGATGTGCACATGCGCAGAGCTGCCAGGAGAAGGGAAGAGCTAAGGAACAAGGGCTGATTCAGGAGTAAAGCCACAGGTGGACGGTGAATGGCCCCTCCCATAGGGAATAAAGAGGAGCAAAAGGGGAGTGGAGTTTGCAGGAGACAATTAGTTTGTTTAATTAGCTTGATTAGCTCCGATATCTCGGAGACTCCTCACCAAGTATTTTCTTGTACAGCATGGCGTTTGGGAGATATCGGCCTGGCAGCTCTCCAAGCCTGATAAGGTCTGTGGTTGTAAATTCACCCTTGAAAGACTGTTTGCTGGCACTTTGCTGGATGTGAATGAGAGGAATTCACATGAGCTTAATAAAAAGGATTTTGTTGGGACAAGGAGTCTGTTTTCGTGATTTCGGGAAGCCCAGGTCAGAACAGAAACACTCCCTAAGTGGTTGGGCTATGCCCGTTTCTTCCACCTCATCTCAGTGGCCCAGAAGCCATTCCCAGGTTCTCTCCGATATGGGCAACTTTCCGAGAATTTCAGCAAGGATTCCAGAAATAAAGTAAACATAAAAAAGGGGAACTCGCGTTCCATCTGCAGCTATGTAATTAAAATGCGAGGCAGCTTATTCTCTCTAGTTTTCTTGCAAAGGTTTCATTACCCAACTAGGTAACACCGTTGGTGCTAGAAGGGTGTGAGGTTTGCGCTTGTTTGAGCACTCCGCTTCCTTGTAGCANAGCTAAAATCCCAAATTGCCAAATCCGGGAAACCCTGCAATGCAAGAAACAATGATCCACCCACTGTGGGATTTTATTTCTATAGGGAAGTAACTGAACTCTGAACACATAAGCAGACAGTGCCAACAACACTCTGAGCTGTTTGAGCACCTCATCTCAGTCCTGGATAACAATGGTGTGATTTATCTTCTTGTTACAGGGAGTCCAGAGGTGGCATTCAGCAGGTTCTGACCAGTTCTGGAGAACCAGTAGTGGGAATTTTGACTAGTTCGGAGAACAGTTAAATAACACTTCTGACTGGCCCCACCCCTATCTATTCTCTGCTTCCCGAGTCCCACTGATCGGGAGGAAATGAGGACTTTGCAATAACCTTCCCCTGCAATGGGGTGGCAATGGAGATTTTACAGTATCCTTTCCCTGCCATGCCCACCTAGCCATTCCCTCTTAGCCATGCCATGCCATCAAGCCACACCCTCTAAGCCAAGCCATGCCATCAAGCCATACCCTCTAAGCCATGCCATGCCCACCAAGCCACGCCCTTCTAAGCCATGGCATGCCCACCAAGCCACTCCCACAGAACCGATAGTAAAAAAAATTGAATCCCACCACTGAGGAAGTCCTTCACTTGCAACCCCCTTGTTTAGCTTGTTTGAAGTTATGACGGCACTGAAAAAAGTGACTTACAATTGGTGCTCACACCTACGACCAGGCCACAGTCACGCAATCACCTTTGCGACTTCCCAGCCGGCTTCCAACATGCAACATCAACGGCGAAAGCCAGCAGAGAGAGTCATTTTCTTGTGATGTCTCACTTAACGGCTGAAGCAAAAACATGTTTGGGAAAAAAAGGTGCAGTCCTGTGATGCTTCACTTAACAACTGCACTGCTTAATGTCTAACTTCCAGGTACCCATTGTGGTTGGAAATATAAAAGTTTTGAGGTGTCAATATTTAAAAAGCTTTCTCTACCCATACTTCCAGGTCAGAATATTAAGATCTATTACAGGAAATTACTCTGAAAGGGAGCTGACTATTATGCAGGAAAGGAATTCTTTTTTCACCTCCCCAAGAGAGAAGGAACACTAAATTTGTAATCCCCTCCCACAAAGAAGGAATTAATAAATATATACTTGCAAAGGTGCTTGGGGGCCTGCCAGCCATTGTGTTTGCAAAGGGAGTCTTTGAAAGATTGCTAAATTGCAAATTTAATTTCCTAGAATTAAACTTCTGAAGTGATGTTACATCAGACAATTCAGGGCATTTTTAATGGCACCTCGTAATCCGTTTGGGTCAGAGGTGGCATTCTGCCCGTTCACCCCAGTTCAGTTGAACCAGTACCGGTGGTGAATGGAGACTCCGCCCACCCACCCAGACCTCATCATGGACACTCTGCGCATGTGCAGAAGTGCCATGCATAAGCGCACACTCCCAGTTCCAAACCGGTAGCAAGGACATTACTGATTTGGGTCCTATAGACATTGGAGCAGTGTGTATCCATCCATATTTGTGTTTCCTCAATTGCAGTGTCTGCTCTGATCAGTGGTGGGTTCCGGATCCCGTTCCAACTGGTACAGTTGAAATGGGCCCAGCATTGTCCACATGGATGCACGCAGCGCCCGCACAGCACACGCATGTGTCTTACTGTCCAGCGATGCCTCCGTGAGCCTCCACGATGCTACAGCTGCTCAGTGGAGTGTCACACAGGCGCTGTACGCACCTAAGACTTTAAAGACAGGTAAGGAGCACAGAAGGGCGGGTGGACCCTCCAGAGCACCGGAACGGAATGGTACCCAATGCTCCGGGCAGGCTCCAGTACGCCTATACCGGGGTGTACTGCCTGCAACCCACCACTGGCTCAGATCTAATCTGAGGAGGACTTGAGATTAATAGGTCTACCGTGTGTTTTTTTTAATTACATGCAACAACCGTAATTTCCTTCACAAACTTCAGAGTTTGTACCTTTTTAATACAGTAGAGAAATATGTCACAGATCTGTGATTTGAATCTAATAGTCTTCTACGTGGCTAGATTTTGTTCCTGATTTCATGCAAAATGATGTGCAAACTAGATAACGATCATACAGGGATCCCTTCTGCTCGGAGTGATCAGTTTTTGAAAAGAATGGATAGAATGCAAAATTGAGTCGATTTCCCCTGAAGAATCCAGGACACAAATCAGCAGTACAGAATTACTGGCTCTGTAGCAGTGGTGGGGTTCAATTTTTTCACTACTGGTTCTGCGGGAGTGGCTCGGTGGGCGTGGCAGGGGAAGGATACTGTAAAATCCCCATTCCCTCCCGATGAGCTGGGATCCTGGAGGCAGAGAATAGATGGGGCAGGGCCAGCCAGAGGTGGTATTTACCGGTTCTCTTGACTACTCAAAATTTCCACTACCAGTTCTCCAGAACTGATCAGAACCTGCTGAATACCACCTCTGGTTTGAAGACATCCGAGCACAAACCTTTTGAAGCCACGTCCACAT